TGAAAAAGTCAATCACCCTCCCAATCCTCCCCAGTTCGACCCACAGCCCTTCGTTTACGTCGAGATGCGGGCGCACGGGCTTCGTCCCCGGTCGTTATCCCGTCGTCCCCGTGACTTCCTCACCATCCAACAGCTCCCAGGTTGGCCCCCGTTCCCTGATACATGGCAGCCATTTCCCCTCTCCCTCTTCTATCATCGCTACGCCACCCGCCTTCTGGTTACCCTCTTCCCGCATGCTACTACTCGCTCCCTCGTTACTTCCTTCCCCCTCTACGTTCTCCTCTTTAACACGGATTGGCGGGAGTATAATCATATAGAGGTCTACTGCATCGTTGCAGGCACGATCCCTTCGTGCAAAGAATATGACGACTTCCGCGCTGCCATCCGCCGCACCCTTTGCACCCTCTACCCTGACTACCTCGCCTCCCTCCCGCATCAAGGACGACACCCTTGCTTCCCTCGCATCCACCGGTCCATTCATTACGTCCCACTCCCCTCCAGCGACGAGGAAATTTATCGTTTCATGCCTCCTCTCCCCCAAGTCTATCCACCACCTCCCCCACCCGTAATAAGATCGCCGTTCCTCGACAACATTTTGGATTGAGCCCATGTATGCCACATCGGATGACTTCCACACTCAAATCTTACGGTAAGTGGCACGTGCGAGCCCCGCGTCGATCGACGCATGAAGTGTGTGAGCAAGCGGGAGCTTGCTCAAGATTGAACCCCCCTGGGCGTCACCAATGTGATGAACCATTTTCTGTAATCTCGCGACTTTCTGCGCAAGGCTACCTAGGGAAATGAGACGGGTCAGATGGGTGAGTTGCGGGAAGATGGGTCCGGCGGCAAATTGCATGGACGTCCTCGTTTCTTTTCGTTTTCTGTTGGAAGTTGTCTGATCGGTGTCGGAAAAATCCCGTACCAACGATTGGGTAGCCGCGCCTTGACGAGCGCGAGAACTAATTGTACCATAGCTTCTTTCTTGTTCGGTTGTGAGCACTGGGGATTTTTGGCGTGATCATCGCGCGGGAATATCGTTGTTGAATTTTCAACTGACATCGAGCCCCCATGGGATCGCGGAATTGTTTTTCTCTTTTTTGGAATTTCCTTTTGCAATTAGGACTTAGGCTAGGAATTTAGGAACGCGTAATTTTGTTGCCTCACGCTTGCACGCATCTTGCTGCGCTGGGAATCGGGCTCTGATTGGATTGCTCCCTTAAGCTTGTGCAACTGTCCTTTTTCAAGTTGGCGGGCGCGATTGTAACTCTATCTTTCTTCTTTCTTGATTTCCTTGTGCTTGCCCCCTTCTTCTTCTTCTTTCTCGCCTCGCATACTCTGTTCTAATTGGTCGGAGCGCGTGCATGACCAGATCAATGCGTGGAGTGTCGCTACGACCCCCACGTCGCGGCTTGACCATGCAGACATAGGCACTTCCTCTTTTCACCTCTTGTCCACCTAGGCTTAATCCCGTACCTTTCGCGCAGGCATGCATGTTATAAATTCCGCAAGCGCGATTAGTTTGCTCTCTAAGAATTTCGAGGTTAGCGTGATCAGTGAGGGTCGGCTAACGAGCAAGTTTGGAAGGTGAGTGAGTGCGAGAGTTGGGCGATCCGACGAGCGGGTGTCGGGTATGCGGCGTTGACGTGGGGGCCCACGACGGACTGTGGCGCACGGGCGAACCCGACTTGCATACTCGAACCAAGCAGGGTGACAACTCTGTGTTGATGCGAGGCGACGGACTGCCCGCATCGAGAGCGCGGAGAGAGAGAGCTGTCTCTTATACACATCTAGATGTGTATAAGAGACAGGAGAGAGAGAGAGAGAGAGAGAGAGAGAGAGAGAGAGAGAGAGAGAGAGAGAGAGAGAGAGCAGTTGTGTGGGTGTGGGATAAGGTTCTTTTCATTGTTGCTTTCTTTTCCTCTGTTCATCTGTATGATTTTGGATCTGGATATGGTCGATTTTATCGCGGCCTCCTTTTTGGACTTCTTTTGTAAATCGTCTCGGATTTTCCTTGTCGTGTGTATCTTGTATATATGCATGGAATAAATGTGAGTCCCCTTATTATTGATCTTTTCGGATTTTCAATCTTGGTTTGCGATGTCCATTCCGACTCTGTCTACTGCTCACTTGCGTGAGCTATGCGCGCAGATATGATCGAAATCGCTCGATTATGGATGTTTTGGTTTAGTCGTTAACTTTTGATCGACAAGAGTGCTATAAGAAGTGACGATCCTTTCTCTTCTTTCCTCCTTTTTGTCACATGCATGATATGTAATGATCGGATCTCACCCGACGCTGTAGGGATAGGATATCTGCATGCATATTGAATGCGATCAACACGTTGAACCAACCCGTTGTTTCTCACGTGCACGCTCATGTACGACCGCGACCTCGAGGAAAATGAGTCGCCGCATACGCGTTCGTCTGCGTGAGTCGACCTTGGACCACATATAAGGATGCAGGGGACCGAGTTTGCTAAACAAATATGGCTGCCGAATTTCCCTCTTGGATGTCCGATCGTGAGAGTCTGAGGGACCCAGAATACCGCGAATACTGGGAAGGTGAACAACTCAGACGGCGAGGGAACTTAAGAAATTTGAAATTCCCCTGTCTGACAAAAGAGATCGATTGTGTGTGAGGGACTTTCAATGTGCCATAACTAACGATCCTAGGGGCCCCGATTACCCGGATACTTATAACACCCCGTATTTCATATCCCCCGGTTTCGTCGTCATTACGACCAGTTTCCCTCCATTCCACCTCCTCCTTCCATATCACCAACTCACAGTGGTGTCGTGGAATTCCATAGCCCGCTATTGGCCCCGCATAACGTGCGAAAAGTGTCGGCGGCAACAGGCGTATCGAGCCTCGGAATTCGCTCAGCGAACCCGCACCGAAGCCGAGCGGCGCCGACAACTGGTCGAACCACGCGACCAACCACGAAGGCGAAACCAGAGGAGACGGTGATTCCCATCTCTTTTAGACTTGAAAGTTGAGTTCGTTGGCAGGGGCAATGTTGTTGGGATTTTGTTCGAGAATGCAAGAGTGTTTAGATCTGTCGGTACTGAGATTGTGGGAAATTACCCGGGGATCTTTGGTATGAGCTGCGCTGCGCATGCCATCTGCCTTATGCTGCACGACATCAGCGGCTTCCCGTTTGTGCACAAGCCCCGAGAAGCGGTCTACCCTCCGTCTTTCGAAATTTAGAAGTGCCAAACACGACCAACGACCACCCTCTTTGCGCTTATACCCCCGAAACTTGCCACAAGAGATCTCAATTCCGACCTGGGACTCCACCCCCACTTTCCTAAAATCCTTGGCACACCCCTTTTTCGCACTTTCAGGCCCTCATCCCACTCCGATCAGGAAGTCGCGCTGGGCGTGAGGTTGGGCGTCACAATGTCTGGCGGGATGTACCAGGTTGCAGGTTCGCATGGAGCGCGTATTCGCACAAAACACATTCAGGCAACTCGTGTAGCATGCAAGGCAGTTTTGCTGGGATGGCTGGGAAACATATTGGCGCAGAGCAGCGACAAAGTTCTCTCTCTCTCTCTCTCTCACACACACACACACACACGCACACGCACACGCACACACTCTCTCTCTCTCTCTCTCTCTCTCTCTCTCACACACACACACACACACACACACACACACACACACGCACACACACACACACACACACTCACATACACACGCACATACATTCTCTTGTCTATTGATGGGGAACGCCACCTGATGGAAACTGGGTCCAGCGTCCCATGAACATCGTGAATAAACTTGAAGCATCAACAAGGACCCCACACACACACTCTCTTCGAGTTGTGTATAGCGAACATGACGAAACATACATACAGCATATTCACTACCTTATCCTTCCCGAACCACAAACAAGCGAACTACGGGCTGCACACCCGTGCCCTCACGGTAAGTCAATGTGTGTGTGTGTGTGTGTGTGTGTGTGTGTGTGTGTGTGAGAGAGAGAGAGAGAGAGAGAGAGAGAGAGAGAGAGAGAGACTCTGAGAGAGAGAGAGAGAGACTCTGAGAGAGAGAGA